AGGGAGCGTAAACTTGGAACTATGACTTCCAGCTGATCATAGTCTGTCTTCAAACAAAAAAACTGAACCTATTTTGAAATTATACCAGATAAAACTGATTTCAAGATTCTTCTTGAAACGTGTTATGGGTCAGGATCATGTAACTTTTGATGACCGAGTCTCAGCTTGCAGTTGAAATAAGCCATGGATATTGGATGTTTCATCTCCCTCTCCTCCACCCACTGAAATGTTACGTACTGAACAGCCAATGCTGAAACGAAGCAAAAGGGATTCTAAAAGCTCAGTGTGGCTTTTGTTTTTATTACACAAAAATCAAACAAAGTTATTAGGAAGCAGACAGCCCAGGCTTTTCCTCTGTGTGCGCCCAGACTTCCACTCCAGCAGGTTCAAGGGAGAGATTTAATCAACAGGCAGACAGGTCATCTGACAGCAAATATTCTAAATTAATCTGGAAAAAGGCACTGTATATCCAACACCTCTAAAGTTCTTTCCTGTGATGTTTTCTTGCTTCTTGGCAAAAGAAATTTAAACCACCCACTTCCAGGGAGGCTGCATGTTTCCATACAGACACAAATCTCTTGGCTTTCATACTGCTTCTGGGACACATCATTCATTCTTTTCCGAAATGTCTCTCTCCTCTACCATTCGGCGCCGCCCGCCCAGTGCTGAAAATCCAGCTGCTGCTCAGTGCTTTCCAACGCTCGACCTTCAGGTGCTCCCACAACCAGGTCGGTGTCATGGCCCACGACTTACGGCTACAGAAACAGAGTGGCCAGGGCTCAGTGACCCAGCTACGCTCATCTTAACGTGGAAAACTGCTAGTGCTTGTTTAAAAATGTGGCATCAGTCCTGTTGATAAATTTACTGAATAATGTATTTTACGGACAAGTAGAAACATCCACAGTTCCAAATTCAGCTTATGAATCTGTTCTTCCTACTTTGCACTTACCAAGAAAGATCCAGATTTATCCCTTAGGTATGGAAAACAAATGGGAAGCCTGCATTCAGTTTTAATACATGAAAATGAATCCTTCAGTGCTCTCTGCCACTATTCTTCACTATATACTTACAAAGACCTTTTCAGATAACTTGTACTGAGTCTGAAAATAAACATACTACCCTGGAATTGATCTTTATACCTACCATAGGATGCTACAGAAGTGGGCACACCACCAAGGCCAAAAATTCATTGCTGTAGCATTGCAGGTGCATCAGGAGTAAGAATCACCTGGTGTTCCCTTTCCATCTGAAAGTATTTTAATGCCCTCGGTCACTAACCAGGGCCATCTCCTGCCACAAGCTGCCGTCCCTCCACAGCTCCTCCAGCACGACGACTTCTTAATGTGGAAATCCGACCCGAGCACTCCCTAGCTCAGACAATCTCTCCGTTAAGGAACCACAGAGCAGGATTATTTCATAAAGCATCCTTTCCTCGAAGCCAGCTGTTTAGCAAGGCACCGCTGCTCCCTCTTGAGCTGTGCCCTTATACGCATATAAACTATACCCTTCTGTCGGCCCAGTCCTGCCATCTTTGCAACATCTGGAAAGAGGGACCAGCTCTTCTCCTTTCCTCTCACTATTAGGATTATGCATGTGAGAGTAACATTACTCGTCTTTTATGTGTGCATATCTAAAAGCATGGCAGGCAACAAAAACTTTGGGAATTTCCTTCTTGTGTTTGGATATCCAGAGTCAAAAAATTGAGTTTCTGGGGACCAGCTCTTCTCCTTTCCTCTCACTATTAGGATTATGCATGTGAGAGTAACATTACTCGTCTTTTATGTGTGCATATCTAAAAGCATGGCAGGCAACAAAAACTTTGGGAATTTCCTTCTTGTGTTTATCCAGAGTCAAAAAATTTAGTTTCTGGGATGGTGCAGAGTCCATCTTTGAATATATTTATTTCATTAGCAGGATAAACTTACATTGCTAGCCTGACCTATAATTAACCTAGCAGACACTGCCTGTATTTTTATTAACACTTTGTTGAGACAATTGTTAGAGGCTCAAAAGAAACATTAAAAAAGATGGCCCTGGTTATTTAAATCCTCTATAGAGGGAAATGCACTAGAAGCCCTGTCAACCATTTTGTTCCCAGTATCACTCAACTTCTCCTTCTGTTGCTGTTCTGTAGAAGGAACATGCACTGGAGCTGTTTGTGGTGCCTTTTGCATCTGGGTCACCACGCTGTTCCGGCTGTCCTTGCCCATTCCTCCCGACAGCATTAAAAAGCACTTAAGGATTTTTGTTTCAGGAGACAAGCACAAACTTACCAATTTTACTATCGCTGGGTGAAAAAAAAATGTCACCCTTTTGTTTCATAGCCTGTACCCTACGTCATGCTCTAACCACATTCCCCCATTTGTGGCAACAACGCTCCGTGACAAGCCCTGCATTTTACAAGGAGACAGTCCTCAGCCACAGCATGTTGGAGGGTTCTTTTCTCTTCATGAGTAAGTCCAATGGGGTTTTCCAGTCTTTCAAAATGCACTTACTGGTCTATTGATTGTTTTCACGTTTCTTTCAAAATTTCACAAGGACACACTGAAAAATAATTCTATTAAATGTACTGAAGCTAGCACATACTTCACTTCCTATTATAAAAGCTACCTTCTCAGCTGAAGCCTGCTGGACAGATAAGAATTAAGAAACTTTATTTTAATGTAGGCTCTGGCTGTGTTCCTAAATTCTAAAATGCCTATACATAAAAACAAAATTAAATTAAATCCTCTATTTCCCAGTACATAAAAAAATTAAATCTTATAGTAAAGTTGGTTCCCTCTGTTCATTTAATTAAATTAGAAAGCATTGTTTCAAATGTCTACATCTTGATACGAGAACAACAAAAACAACCAAATGCAGAATAGGTTTTAACTTCTATCAATTACATTTTCCTTATCCATTTGTTACCGTCATCTACCCATCTCATTAACTCAAGCATCAGCATTTGGCTGCGAATCAGATGCGCATGTTTTAACTGACTGTTGTGAAATTACTCACACGCTGCTTGCATAAGTAAACCTGAGTGAAACTGCCTGAGCGAGGACAGCGATGAGAGATGTTTTCCCTCTGCTCCTCACCAGTAAAAAAGCCATGGCAAGAAGGGACATGTTTGCATAGAGTTTCTTCATTACAGTAAAGACCATCATCAATCTTTCATGATCTGAATTTGAACAAAAACTAACCCGTCACTAATATGAAAGGAGGCTTCACAGATGACAGTGGGGGAAAATGCTACCTTTGCACTTGGTGTTAGGAAGGAAGGAAGTGGTTTAGAGTAGCTTCATTTTTATCAGAAAGAAGGGCGAGGTGAAAGCAAAAGAGAAAAGGTTTATGATTTGTATGTCCAGAAAACGGTGTTGCAAGCCTTCAGCAATGCCTGACCTGAAGACAAAAATCATACCGCAGTCCTCCCAGTGCGACACAGGATTGTTACAGGAGGAGAACTGGAGAAAGTGTTCTTATTTCAAATTAATTTTCAGTTGGAGTCAAGGTAAGCCCGTTATATAGTAGAATGCTTGGCCCAGCTTTTTTCCGTAGTGAGTTGGTATGGAGCGATTGCTAATAATACTCTTGTTAGTTATTCCAGTGCTGGGTGGCATCATAAGAACGGCACTGCGTGAGATTTCCACTTGTTAGCTTGTGTCCCAAAGTGAAAGGAGAAGAATACCGATCTGCAAAGATTAAATCGTTCAAAGGAAATAAAGCACCTTATAAAATTTGCAGAAGGCCGTCAGACTTAGGTACTAACACAGAAAGTCCAAGAAAAACAGAATTCTCAGAGAGTAACATTTCATAATTAAAGTTTTTTTTATTTCTTCACTTTCTCCTTAATACAAAGCTTTGGCATCAGCAAATTTTATGAAAAAACAGAATGTACTAAATAATTGCTTGTGCTGCATGATCGATAAATGATGCATAAAAATAGGTGTCTCTCTCCAAGGCAATCGGCTGGAAAGCGTTTCTTCAATACCATTCTGCTCTGTGGGGCAGAAAAAAAACAGGAACAAAATATTTATATTAAAGTTAATACTGCCAATACTAAAAAAAAAACCCAAACCTGTAAAAGTAAGTTAGTGAGAAATGACTAATTATGCAAGGCCAGAGCATTAACAGAGGTCTGTACTCTGTACATCATTCTTACAGGCCCACTAAAACAGGACAGCCAGGGGTTTGAGCACTTCTAAACTTTTGAGGAAACTCCATCTGCTACTGAAAACTTTCTCTAAGTGGTGCTATCCAACATCTGGGCTTTTTGGACTTTAAAACACAATTATACAGTAATTTCCAACTGTTCCCTAAGAAGCAAAGCAAAATGTGCTTCTTTTGTTCCTTTAAATCACTACCTAAATCATTTAATAGTAATAGTGCATTAATATTATGAGACCAAGAGAAAGTAGCTGGTTCCTTATTTTCTTATCTCTTGGACAATGTTTACTTTTATCAGGAACTATTTAAAAATGCTTGTGTGTGTGTATATATACATACACACAAACATACGTATACACAGTTAAATATGTGTATACATACACAACTCCAGAACTATTGCTCTAAATAAATATGTTTAAGCTGCAGGAAGGACATAGGAAAAAAAAGGATCAGGACATGTTTTTAGTCGAGTTTCAATGCAGAATATTTGACACCTTTTACTTGCATCAGCATATTATGTGGCCTCATTCTTGCTACTGTTTTCTGATAAGAAAAAACCCTCAGCTTCCTCTTGAAACACTACCATAACAAATGTAGGGTATGCCAGCATTGCTTTTTATATGGAGAACAACATAAAAAGCAGGTATGCTGTTATGACATTTAACGGAAATCGCAGTGAGAGGCAGCTGCCATATATTTGGCATGATATTCAGCACAAGAAATGCTTTGTCTGGCACTGGGGAACATAAGGTGTCAATGAAACAATAAATCTAAGCATTAGTGTCATACATACACATTTTAAACTGTCTAAAATGAGTAGCTGAACCTAGCAGCACTTGTGAAGGCTGCTTAGATCCCAAAGGATTCAGTCAAAAAGCTGTTGAGGTTAAAGGCTACAGCTAGGTAACCTCAGTTACCTAAATAAGTGATTTTTGACAGCTCTGGTTTCTGCGATTGCTAGTTTTCTCAAGTCTGCCTCGAAGCATACATTTGTATACGCTCGCATTTTCATTCCTATCACTGGGGAAAGGAGCTCTCCTTACATCAGCACGCCCTTGGTTTGTACTAAGGGAACCACTGTGAACACTTTGCTGGAAGCCCTAACTCTCTGCCACTGTGAAGCAGCTTGCCCTTTCAGTAAAAATAGACCCAGATCCGAGCAAAAGACAACAAAAAGAAGAGTTGCAAGGCAAGGCAGAAATGCAACTGCTATCAGTGCCCGCATCTGGATGATACTACATGGGCTACAGTTCCTTTGTCTTCTTCCTAATGATGTGGAAATGCCCAGAAATGCAGACATTCCTGTTTCACAACTCATCCCGCTCCATGCTTTCCCAAGCTATTTTTCAGTGCAGATTAACTATGTTCAGCTGCAGCTATGTTGCCAAGTTGCTGATTGATGGCTGCAATTTCAGGATTTTGACAAATGGGGAAAAAAAAAAAATCAGGAGACTTTATAAGGCTATTTGAAGTTCTAAAACTTTTCTTCATTAAACCCTTCTGGAATTAGCATCTGAAAAGAGGAGGAAAGGAAGATTTGCAAGTTAGTGGTAATCAAAGGCCTTTGATGACCAAAGCCTCTAAGAACTTATTATAGCTCCTTCTGAAAATTAGCTTGAAACTGTCTAAAATTTTACACTGGGGACTATTAGACATATTTCCATCTTATTGAGAAGGACACCTTATACTTTCCAGACAGCAATAAAAGTAAAAAAAGTACTTCTTTCTCTTATCTCAAACAAACAAACAAAAAAGGAATTATGTTTATAAAGCTACATTTCCAGGCTGCACAGGAGTTTGCCTTTGAATCTCACCCCACTTTTGGTAAGAGATCAACACATTGATGGAAACTCAGCTGCATCAAGATGTTCAGAGACAAAGATAGATGTTGACACATTCCCTCCCCAAATAAATAAATTATGATTAAATATATATCATGAGCCCAGATGTTCTGTACTCCTAAATGAAAACAGCTAGATGTACCTAGTCAATAAATCTGCAGAACAGATTTATACTTGCCCACACACAGAACTATAAAAAAAGATTGAAAATCACGTGCTAGAGTCATTTCTTGTCCAGCCTGTCTGAAGGGAGGCATTGGGGGTGTCTATAAAAATTAGGAACGCGTGGATGCCTTCAAGCACTCCTTTGACTGCAGTTCTTAAGCATACTAAAATGAGAGGTCAGAAGACTGGTCTGCTCTCTTCACTTGAGAGAAGAAACAGCAGCGTATTCATTGCTTTCGTCTCTCCCTCTCCTAAGAGCAAAAAGGTAGTTTTCTATTTAAATACCTTTCTTCTTAGTTGAAAGTGTGCCAAATAGGAATACAGATTTTTTTTTTTAATATGAAATTCGACTACAAAATTGAGGTGAAAACTGTCAAAGGTAACAGATGGTAGTAATTTTTGGCTCTGCCAGGTGAATTTTGAACATGGGAACTTAACGGCAGAAATGTTTACCTAGACCATTGATCAAAAACTGAATATAAATATTCTCTTTTCCCCATTCCATGTCTCCACTTAGCAAGGAGATTTCCTCGGACAATGCAGCTAAGTATAAATTAAGAGGGACTTTAGATGTTACCCTGGAATCTACTGTTAACAGAGAGACTTACATTTGAGAAAAGCAGAAAAGGCATTTGATTCTTTGAAAGCTGCATTTTTCCCCTTCTCTGTTCTCTTGGCATTTGTTCCTAACGTTGTCCACGACACACACCCACCAGAAATATACAGAACATCTGAATATTTACTTACTCATTAGCATTCAAGCTAGCTGTGGCTTTGATGATCATGTAGCAGAGTGTAAGGGCACTGAGGAGGCCAAAACTGGCAATAATAAACCACTCTTCTGTTGACAAAGGAAAGGGAGGAAATCACTCGTGGGAGAAGGCTTATGTCAAAGCGATGCCCATATTTCCCTCAAACACCACTGGCGGAAGGCAAGAGGCTTCTAAGCCATGACTGGCACCAGGAGGTGAAGCAGAAGGAGGTTAGCCACAGAGTTACTGACTGGAGAAGGCTAGCAAAGAAGAAGTGGAGAGAGGTATGGAAAAAAAGCATGGCACCACAATATTTCCTGGCTGAGCCCAAGGGTTAGTGATAAAGAAAGGTTACTTAACAATGTAAAGTGAAATGCAGGAACAAGGGAAAATGTAATGAAAACTCTGTCCGCCCAAGTCAGAAAAGGTTGTCAGGGTTGGTTTAGATTTGCTGAGATGCATCTCTTGACATAAGAATGCCCAGTATACTTTCACACTTGACTTGTCCTCGCCCCCTCCCTCCTGAATAAGTGCTACAGTGTTACTTTAAAAAAACAACAAAAAAATAGGATAGCTTTTGAACAGTAAAACAGAACTAGAGTTTTCCATTTAATAGACATGAATACAACATGGAAAAACAATTTCAACATTAGTGTATACATACAGACACATTAAAAAAAAAAAGTAGTATAAAGAAGGCTAACAAAGAATGTTCACTATTCAAAGTTCTCCCTCCTCAAGATCAATTTGGCATATAGTAATAGATCGGAATACACTTTTGTTGAATATGGCTTTTGGTTTAACTCTCACGCATCAAAAGAATGCATGTGTCATCCATAAAATCAAAACACTTTAACAACCTTTTCTAAAGCTTTATTTTATAAACATTGTCAGAATGAACTGTTGCTGATTATTTCTTGTTTTACCCTGGCATCCCATCTGTGCAAGAGCAGTACTACAGTTGGGAACAGACAGTAAAAATACTTTCTGTAAAACCAAGTAGTGAAAAGTTTCAGTTAAACTACAGAGTCTTCCTACCCATGACAAGAAAAGCAGCACACCAACAGATTTGCTCTCTGTTCAGTAGAGCTGAATACAAGATGAATCATGAACACTGCATGACAAAGTGACTTACTGGCTTTGTAAAGAATCTAGATTTTGTACGTGGCTTTTTCCTTCTCGGATCAGGACACTTCTGGACACGGACTATGTGTTTCATAAGATGAGATTTTTTTAATGAGATGTTTACTTTGCTACAGCATCTAAAGAAACACTCTAATGGACTGTATCGGTTACAGATACATATATCAGTGGCAAACAGTGTCACTAAGTTCAAAATCTAGATCATAGATGCACAGAAGCAAAATACAAGGAGAAAATTAGACTGTTGTACTGCATGGATTCTATTTTTGCAGTTCAGCCAGAAAAACAACCATTCATGCATCAAATTGAGACTGTACAGCATATGGAAAAATGATGTAATTCCACACATATTGTATTCATTATAGTGCTATTATACATTAAAAACCCTAGGTAAAATCCAGTGAGTGGAAATTTCCCATGCTGTTCTTATGGATAAGAGCTTGCAAGCAGTGCAGGAACAGTTTTCTGATGTCATAAAACACTTGGACAATACTCAAATGCTGGTACATCAAATACTTTTTTTTAATTCACAAATTTTGTAAGAAAAACCATCTGCTAAGAGACGTCAGAATTCCAGTAATAATGTTCTCAGGGGAAAAAATGTGTGCAGAAATAGTAATCAGCTAAAATATTTATATTTGCATAAATTATTGTATTCTGAAAGGGTAAGTAACGTTCTCGTACTGGCCACCAAATTCAGGAGGGTTATTTTGTTGCCATTTTAGTTCATCCAGTGTTCTTTGCATGCAGGTCTAAATGGATATACCATTAATGGAAGTGTTGGCACTGCCGTCCCTAGAGTTATCGGTTTCTACATGGAGCGTATGCCTCTCACGGAGACACCGAGGTCACCTTTGTCCCTGCAGGGACGCCTTTCGCCACGGCCCTGCAGCACAGAGCTACAGCAAAGCAAGCGCCACGTACCAGGAAAACCATAGAACGGTACTGGAAGCCAAAGAAAACTTACTTGTCACAGCAATGTTGATCTCTCCTGACCTCGGCGTCAGCTCTCCGTCCTGTGGAAGCTGTGACATGCCAGAGGTGCGCAGGGGCTCCAGGCTGAGAGAGCTGTCGTGGGCAAAGTCGCCAAGCGCTGATCGTCTGCTGGCTGGCTGGCCTCTGGTGAGCCTTTCCATGTCAAAGGCTACATTATCTGTACATGGCACGTTTGGCTGGAAAAACAAGCGATTCCACATTACAATGGTGAATATTCTGCGTGTGGCAAACCTATAAATTGAGTAAAACCACACACACGCTATTCAGCCGCTATGGCTGTCCTCACAGGAGAGAAACACATGAATTAGCAAGTTCTACCCAAAGTTGCTCCTTCAGTCCACCTTAGAGAGGTGGAGAAAGAAGCAGGAAATGGGATTAAGATTCGAGAAAGGGACTCGGATATGCTTGTATCATAGCCTATGCCCGTATGGTTTACTATCGCGAGCAATGATGACATGCACTGAACTCTACAGTATCCTCCTCTAAAAATCCAGGCATATTAATTGCAAAAATAGGTCATCCACAACGTATCTGCAACTATTTCTTAGAAAATGTGCAAATTCGTAACTGACACAGCTAAAAATGGAGGCCTGATTATTCTCACTGGCTTGATTCAAAAGCTGCTTTAGACAGTATCTTCATATGCTCTTCTCTTTCTTCCTTATTTCTTTCTTCTGAAAAGAGCATCACTCCCACCTTATCATTTTTTCCTCATATGGGAAAGATGGAAAAATCCTCTCTGAGGTTCTTCACTTCTACCCCTTTGTGAACTGGTCAACAAAAGCAGTCCTCAGGGATCCCATAAGCTGCTTGAGGAAAGCTCTCTGGCCTCAGCTAGGGCATGGCTCTTAATGTGTAAACAAGTTTAAGAGTGTTTACGGGAGACCATTACAAGAACAAGAGATTTACAGAGTAAATTTAACAAAGAAAGGTTGAAAGAAGTTGAGAAAAGGGAAGATTATAGAGAACCTAGTAGACTTCCAGTAGATAAGAAATTGTTATAAATGGAAATATAACAATACATTCCCAATGACCAACCAGGGAAACGAACAACAACAACAAATCGGCTTTATCAGCAGCAAAAAAATTGGTAAAAAACCTCAAACGCTTTCTGACTAAGGGTACTGGAACACCCTTCTCCCTTTCTCCCCTACAATTACTCCTCCTGTTCTGGATCTCAGACATGGGCGGAGGAAGAGCTCACAACAGTGCAACTTACCACAATCCCCAGTGCCTTCAAAATGTTCAGTTTACACATTGGACATGTGCAGTGCTCACTAAGCCACGGATCCACACAGGCTTTGTGGAAAACATGCCTAGAAGAACAGACAAGGCACACACATAATTTGCGAGCGATTCTATTTTATAGAATGAGAACTACTTTAACAAACTTTTAGATAGTTTCTTTTTTATTAAGCCAGCAGAACAAATTCTAGAATTGCCAGTATTCTGTGTCGATTGCAATACGAAAAAAAATCAAAAACTCTTGCTTGTTGTTGCCACCCTTTACTAATAGTTCAAGTAGGAAGAAACGCTTAAAAGGAAGTTGTTTTTTTTTTTTAATTCCCCTTCTCCCCACGCCCTTTATTGTGGATAGGAGTATGCACATGGGCAGAATAACTAGGGTAACAAAGTCCCCACGGTAACCTTGTGTCAAGTCTTCTCTCAATTTCTGTGTAGAACCGTAAGTTGGGTAGGAAGCGCACAGATCCACCAGCAGTCAATTTTATTCAAAAGTCAGTGCAACCAACCCAGACACCCTTATGTTTGATTTTAAATGGGCTTTTATAGTTATCACATCTAAGTAAAAAGAAGGCTTTTCCTACAATCAGTATTTCTTGATATCAGGAAGGAAAACATGTCCATCATCATATGATGGTCATATGATGGTCGTAAAAAAAAAAGAAGAATCTTTCCAAGATAAAAAGGCAAACTGGGCTTCTACTTGCACAGCAGGGAACTCTGCAATAGAGAAGTCTGAATTGCCGCTTACATTGCATACAAAATCTTGGTCACATACATGAATATAAATGTAACAGTGTTGGGACTGACATAAATCAATGTAACAGGGAAGGGCTATGCAGAGACCAAAACAATTAAAGGAAATGTCCTCTTGGCTCTTCAAAAGGCAAAGAGCTTTTTAGAGCATACTCATGGCAGAAATGGGTATCACTAGGCTTTCTACACAATACAGCTTCAGCAAATGCTCATAATAACCTAGTCCGAATAACTGCCTACCTTAAGAACCCAGATCTTTCATTTCCAGTGGTACTGCCTGCCGAGCAAAAAGCCAGGGAGAGCAGGCACGCCCAAACACGACAGACTGGTGATCACGACACAGGGCAGCAATTACAGGGGCTGCTTAGTCAGCGGAGAGCTGCGCTCTGACACCAGCAGGCAACGGAGCAGCGGCAGAACAAGGAGTCCTGCCGTCTATCTGAGGCACCAGCACAGTCTGTGAGAGGTCACGCAGGCCCCGAGGCAGCACAGAGTTGCCATTCCCTCTGCCCTCTCTTTCTCAGGTTATACCTGCTGCTCTGTGCCTCAGCAAGCTCACCACAGGGTCTGGGGCTTCTTTGCTCCCTATCCTTTGGGATTTTAAAACCGGAGACCAAATGAGGCATGTTACCAGATAATTCTCTTTCAAATGTCTGGAAAGTGACTGGAGAAAAAGGCCTCATGAATTTGTTAACAAACATGGAAAAAGACAGTATATAATTGTTTTGCCTATGGCTAGTAAGACTGATGGAGGGACTAAAGTATATCAACATAATTAGGTTCCAGTCAGCTACAACTATGTATCCCTCCTGTACTAACTAAAGACACACAGACTTAGAGAGTATAATATATAAACAGAAGATGGACAGGGAGCAAAAGAACTTTGCTTATCTCTATCCCAGATACTGCAGGAATAGCAACTTTCAGAATCTCAGCTAGTCACTTTGTTGGACTGAGTCTTTTAGCAACACAGTAATCATGACAAACAGGATCTGTACATCGCTCACTGTTCAAATAGTTGCACAAAATATAAACTCACTTCTACCGTTATTAGATCTTAACGCATTAACTTTATTACTCACAAAACTACAGGAATCAATGTTTAGAAATCCTGGGTGACAGAAAATAGTTCTAAATCTTCTGAAACATACAGAGATGCTATTTTTCTATGTTAGGCAAATTATGGCTTTTAGTTGCTTAGGTTTCCTTTTAAGATTCTGAATTCTGTTTTTTAGAGTAGGACAAACCTGAAAATCTATATTTTGGGAAACAGCAGACATCAAGACTCCACAGAAGTATGAAAACAACTTTAACATATCGTTATCAGCTAATCAGTGCTGTAGAAGCACTCAGATCAAGTGAAGCAGGTGACTGATACGGATGCAAACATGCATCCACTAAATATTATGAGTTATTTCAAAGAGTCATCAGCAGTTTGATACAGTTCAAATGCACCAAAACAGCTCAACTATTCCTGTGACCTCTTAATTCTTTGCTTTTAGCTCCTAAACCTTCAAGGATGTTTATTAATGTGTTTCAAAAAAGTGCAGCTCCCCACAGGTTATTTATTGATTTAGGTCAGCACGGCTCTGCCTACTACTTATGCAGTTTATCTACTCCTTAAAAAGCTTGCTGATACCATCACCGTGGCTCAGGCTCTGTCTGGATTTCTCTGCTTGCAAAAGTTAAAAAGCAGTTATACAGCAATGAAGATAGTAAACACACGAATTACTTTAAAACTCAGTCTAACAAAGTAAGCCCTTGCATTTTCTGCTATCATAAGCCTTCTCCATCTTCCTATTTCTGTCACTTGTTTTCCAAGACCATGAATCTGAAGAGTTCCTAGGGAGTTGCTCTAGGTTTCCCCAGGAACCGCACGCCGGGGAGCCAAGTGTGACACAGCTTTGCTGCTTCTCCAGCCTCGGGGCTGGAGGAAGCACGGCCGGCAGCCAGGCTGGTAGCACTGAAGGAGTCTCCCATGCGGGCGTAACTCCAAACAGGTGACCTGCAGGTATTTTTCCACTCTGTCAGCATACCCAAGCCAGTTGCCCTCCAGCTTGTAATAAACACCGTAATGCCGACTCCGTCGTACAACGCAATTTCTCTGCAGCATGGAGAAAAAGTGAGTTCAAAATCTCTTTCGGTGGTGTAATGCCTCCGCATTCGCACGTCGCACAAGAAGGGTTTGAACGAGTTTACAAGTGCTACTTCCCTGCTCCCAGTGCAGCATCCCACCAAAGGGACCTGATCAACGTGCTGCCTGCAAACTAGCATCTTTGGCTACTGCTGGAGGCAGCTGCTCTGCTTGCCCTGGGGTACAAGCCTCCTGGTCGGGCCGGCGAGCAGCACGCAGGTCCCTCCTGCCCTGCTGCAGGCAGCCCACCACAGCTAGCACAGGCGAGGAGCGATGCCTGGCCTGCTGCGGCGGGAGGAAGGCGCCATGCCTCCGTCCCAGCAGGCAAGGCCAGGGGAGAGCAGCCACAAATACATAGTATTGATGGGGGAAAGAGAGACTGCCCTCGCAGGCAGGTAGCGGAGAAAATGGGGGTGGTGTATAGGCATTGCAGTAAGTGGAAAGGATGGCATTGAGATATTGTGCTAATTTGCTCTTAAAAAAAAAAAAAAGGCTATTTGCAGCAGCACAGAATCAAACTGATGGTTATTTGCAGCAGAACAGAATCAAACTGATGGAAATCTGGCTCAGCTGTTTTTGTCACTTTCCCCCTTCTTGCCCAGTTCAGGAAATACTAAGAATCTGACTCAAAAGCCATTTATTTTAACACATTCACTACTTTAATTCTCTTCCTACCTTGTAAATTCCTTCCTTCCCACACCATCTTTCTGCCCTTTCCAATGTCGCTCTGTGCTTTCCTCTACCCTGTCACTTTGCTCTCCCCTTCCCTTATCTCTCACTAGCCCTTCACACTACTCCCTCCTGCTCACTTTTCACCCAGTCCCCCTTCATCTCCTAGATGCAGCGGTGTGATGGTAAAGTAAAACTATCTGAATAAAGAAAATTGTCCATGAGGCTTGTCTTTTGCTAGAATCCTTCTGACATTTGCTTACACTACTTATTTTTAACTTCCATAATGATATTCACAAAAGACAGAGACATTCCTCAGGCTTGTAAGTCTAAGACAGATGGCTGCCTTATCCCTCTGTGCACTAAAAGCTATAGCATGTCCATAGGCTGCTGGCACTGAACATATTTCTCTCTCTGAAGCACAAAACGAATCACAGAAATTCAACTGCATTGTTCGCAATCATTTTAGTTTATTTTTAAATTGGCCACAATTTCCCACCTGCTGCAAAACTTAACGTCACAAATATGGTGTTTCACTACAGAATTTTAGGTGCTGTGTGTCTGCCCAAACCAGACTCCTTTCTGCTGAGGCACCGAGTGACAGACCATGCTTAACTACAGAGAACAATTGTGGTACCAAAGGGAAACGCTGCTTTTAAATTGATGAAAGCAGCAAGGATGTCATATGTCAGTGATTCCTACTGTCTAATGATTATAGCTTCCTCAACAAGCACAATAAGAAAAACTTCTAGCCTTTCATTTGCTTCCTCTTGGTAAAGCCATTTTCTCCATGGTTTTCTTGCAATTTATTTTCTCATCTGCCTTAGAGACTCTCTTGTAGGGGTTTTTTTGTGTGTGTTGTGGGTTTGGGTTTTATGTGTGGTGTTTTTTTTGTGTTTTGTTTTGTGTTTTGTTTTTGTTTTTTTTTTTTAAAAACTAACTTTGCATGTTGTACTAAAATGCGAGGTTGAAGTATCAGGAAGTAGAAAGGGATTAAACCTCCAAAACAAGACTTGGGGAGAACCATCTCAGATGCTGAAGACTGAAAAGTCTTACATGCAGTCTGAAATTTATTGGGCTCATCTCTGCAGGTACTGGTTCAGCCCTTCGTCTACAAATATTAAAAAGTCTTGTGGAAAGCATTCATCTCAATGTTTCTGTCTAGTCAAGATGGTTTTGCACTCAACTCAAAGCCGAACTGCAGCAGATGGAAAGTGAGATTTAAAAAAGAGAAACAGAAAGTGAACATAAAAGTTACAAGAGCCTTGATATCTCCTTTACATGGGAGATTGCATGGGGGAGGTGGTGCTGAGATGGCAGCCAGGTGCACCTTCATCCAGCTCCCTGAAGCAGCTCTAACTACCCTGAGAGCAGGGAGCTTGCTCTCTGCAGGACTGTGGCTCACCAAAAGTGTCTACCTTTTAAAAAATGAAAAAAACCAAACCAAACAAATAATCAATGATCATCTTTGTTAAATGGTCTGATCCCATCTGCTGATACTACCAACATACCCATTGCTTGGACAGTGGCAGTTGTTTAACTAAGGAAGTTGACTTTTAGTCCAATTTTGCGTTGTCCTTAGTGGGAGAAGATGCTTTCCTGCCAGATGAAGATTGATTCTCCTGCCGTTGGCAAGGACCTCCCTCTGACCTCTGTTCAGTATCAAAGAGAAAGGCACAGAGGAGTGGACTTGTGAACCTCCATTCCACATCCTTGAGCCTCACAGTACCACCCTGAACTACACAAGTGAAGCTTTCTTAAGAGGCAATTTAAAAAAAAAAAAAAAAAATCAGCTTAGTGGTCCAAAACTGTGTGCAGTTTCCAGGAGTTCCTCCTCTGATTTCCAAATAATCTTCTACATAACAAATCAAAGACTAGGGCTTAATTCACATATGCAAGCTTTACTTGAGATTACAATATAGGACATAAATCTCTGGAATCTTTACTTAACACTCAGGAGTATATTTTTATGGGCAAGAGGACAACATCTTTCAGTAAAACCAACCGAATTCTAGAAAAGAAATGCGCACACATCCGCTCGACCAAAAGCTCCCTAATCTTTACAAGTCTGAGACCAAGCTCTTCTATTCCCAAATATTTTAATGTCAGTTTCTAAACAAACATTTGTAGGGTATATTAACTAAACAACAACACTGAGAATCTCAAACAGTCATTGTTTCCCACAGTCCAAGAGGTAAAGAACATAGAGAAAAGTAAACTGAATTAAACTTCTGGCTTCAGAAGTAGAATGCACGCATATTTTGATCGATAAGATATAAAATAATACTGTTTTCCTTTTATGATGATAGAAATTCATTATGCATTAGAAGCTATTCCAGCTATTCAGAGCAGCCTGCAGGAGGATTTAGAAGACCAATAATGAGCTCTTGCATGCAGCTGCATGGCTGAAGCTCGACTCCCAACACCATGACTTTGCTGCTTCTAGAGTGTCATGCAGAACACTATTTATGTACCAAGCACAAATTACTGGATCTTAGCTGCATATATACGACATAACTTACATGTATTTTTTGTCTGGAGAAAACAAGAAAGCTTTGAATTTCAGAACACAAGGGAAAGATGTCCTTGGTAATGCTTAAGAACACCAAAACGTACCGATTCATTAAAACCAAGCACCAGGGGGAAAAGCACTTAAAAGCATCTCAAAGAGCAAATATCCCGAAAAAACTCAAGAATGGAAGTGCAATGGAAAGAAACTGAAAACCTGCAAGTGTCAAGAGAATGGCATACAAGGAGGAAGTTGTTACATTTTAAGCACCAATGCAGAATATCCAGCAAGTTCGAATCTTCAGGCACAAGCCAAGGACACACGGCACTGGAGAGACCAAAGACAGATGATAGCACAGTAGCTGACTGATGTCAGAGGAGGTATGAAGGTTGGAAAGACTGCATTTCTGTTTCCTAGACTGTTTCAGAAACCAGCAGCCAGTGTTGCACCTCTGCTGTGCAGAATGCTGCAGCTGTATGTGGTTCATTGCACTTTTGTGTCCGCCCACCGCTCGGTCCTTAAATCTGCACCCTCCCCCCTTACAATCTTAATAGCTCCACTACTAATATGCCCAAACTGCCCATCTTCAAGATCATAACCTTTTATTTAATCTCCAGTGTCATAACAGTGCCAGCACCCACCGTCACACTTCCTGGTATCATAGTCTAAAATAAAGTGGCTGTTATTAGGACTGGAAACATCTAACAAATATGTCTGTAAATTACAATGCACATATTACATGCAATGAAGCAAAGGAGCACAAAGAAAGAATAGTTTCCAAACAAAGCAACTTTACTAGCTTACTTGCATGGTAAAATGCGAACAACGTCATTCTGCTTGTAACTCTCAATGCAGACAGCACAATGATCAAAGTCTGGGTCTGTTTCCTAAAATGAATAGAATGAAAATTCAAGTCAAGAGTTGAGGCTATGACAAATGTAAAAGTAGTTGTGACTAGTCCATGAACTGTGTTGTGCCAAGTGGCTGTTACTAAGAAGATACAAAACTAATGACTGGGTGGTTATATTCCAACATGACTTGAGAAAAAAGCATTCATACCTACAAAACTCCCCCCTCATTTGGAGCTGGTAAACGATCATTTGAAACATAGGCTAAGGCCTAAGATGATTCTAATTTTCGATTGAATCACTAGAACACATAGTGGTGATTTTCCTAGAGGCTTTACTTCAGCTTGGAGCTAAATCTTCTATTTATTTAGAGGTTTTTTTGGCAGGATAAGGATCCTGGAATTCCCTCTTATAGCCAGAACTAGCAATTTTTACTTATTTCAGAGTAGTCCCATATTTCTGTCTGCTGCTTGCTTGCAGCATTATCACCATTCTTACCCAGACATGAAGATGAGGATCACTGACTGACTGGCTCCTCTCTTCTCTGTTTTCCAGAAGTTACGATTTTTTTTTTAATTTTTTTTTTTTAAACATGAGAATTTAAAATTTCCAATGAAAAAGGGCTGACATCATTTGGATGTAGATATGACATCAGCAATATATATTTAAAATGTTTGGGCCTGTGACACAAAACAGACTGTGCCTTCTCTTAGTTCAAGTTCATTATTCTTCTCGATGCCAGCAAGCTACCAGCAGGACACCGAGACAGGAACCACAGCAAGACAGTGGCCACTCCCTGGTCAGCACCAGCCATGCTGCATGCGGAGAACCCCGATGGGCTGCTCTGACGAAGGACAGGTTTTCTCCTACCCTCTGTTCACCTGCGCGTGCATCTCACGCTGTCTGTACTGCAACTTACAGGTCACTTGCCAGTTTTGACAGCATCTTTTCTTTTAAGATGGAAAAGTTCCTGCTACCTGTATGTACTCCCATACCCACAGAAAAGATTTAGTGTAGTAGGCTGTCTTGAAATAAAACTACACAGGGAGGGAGAAAAAGCAAAAAGACATTTTTTCTGCCTTCTCTCTGGAAACAAGTTTTTCCATCGCTTCCTAATCTGATAGTGTTGATAAGAAAGATAAAAAGGAATCACACTAAAAACGCCCAAGGAAATAATCTTCTCTTAAAAAAAAAAAAATCAAATCATAGCCAGAATTCCCTTGCCTTTTGCAAATTAAAGAGCAAAAATTAAGCAAGATTAAGTGACTATTTTTTCCTTTCAGAACCAAAGACAAAGCAGTACTGCTCATAAAAGTGGAAAAAGTTTAGGACTTAAGACACCATATGTTTTAGTTTGTATACTGGCAAGAAATATTCTTGGAGTAACATTTACTATCTTTAATGAAATACCTGTCTATACTCCCCCTCAGATTACTGGATATTAATATTTTACATAAGAGATTGCCCTTTATTACCTGTCTTTTACATTTATTTTTACTTTACACAACTTACACATGGAATGATTCTAAGCTTACGGAATTCCACATAAACAATGCTAGCCCTATGTACTCCTACCAGCAAAAAGCCCCCAGCCAGCTTGCACACAAACCCACTCTCAGTCATGGTTGCCAGATGGAGTGCAAGTAGTTTTTAAGCAAGAAAAACTTCTTTGAAATGTACAGACTTACAGCATACATCGATACTAAAAGTTACACAAAATACTGTGCCACAGGACAAAGTAAGCCTCCAACAAGGAAGGCAAGGTCATAGATCAGAAGCAGAAAGGAAAAACTGAGATTGTTTCTCCTGGCAAAATTAAACATGATGCTCAAGTTTACCACGTTGAAATCTTATTATTATACCTTATCACCCTTCTTTACTGTCCTGGTTGTCAATTTACCGATGGCTTTCTTGGCAGCATCTCCAAGACGACGCTAATAAAGTGACAAAGAAAAGAACACAAATTAACCCTGATAATCAAGCTTCATTACTGTCCTTTATAATGACTTATTTGGGCTCAATACTAACATTGCAGTACACACTAAGGCAGCAGGCCAACACATAAGACAAAAAGCATACGCAGCAAAGTGCACAGAGATTGGTCAGGAAGAAAAAACCCAACAGCTGAGCCCACAAATGCACTCCATAAGCGTGGACATAAACCTCATGGACCATATAAAAGTCCACAAAAGTGATCCAACATTTGTGTGAGAGAACTAAAGCCGTAAGGATAAAAGCTGAAGCAACACGCCCTCCCGATGATTTCCGTTATATTCTGTTCATACTGCTTTTTATTCAGTGTGCTGTAATATACCCCTTGTTCTCTTCTTAAGCTTGAATAATTTTTTTTTCCCCCCCTGAGCAGGCCGATCTTATTCTGAGAAGTAAGAGATCCTCTCAGTGTAACCTAGTTTCTCTCTTGCTATTATCTGAAACCACCAGGATCTCACAAAGAAAAAAATTATGGGTCACGAAATCTAAATAAGCCAATACAGACTTAAATAAAGCTGAAATGAATACTGGTTTGAAGATGAGCCTCAATCTGAATGCAGAGGCCAAGCTATTTTTCTGTGGTTTGTGCTGTTTTTATGACCACCACTGTTGGGTGGAAGGGGCCATTTCTGCGACGCAGGTGCTGGTTCCTGCTGCAGTGCCCCGTTCCCAGCCAGCTGAGAATGGCTCTTTGCCAGCCGGTCGTGGGATCCCCACTGGAACAAAGCTCATGCCTTCTTGTTTCAGGAGCCTGAGGCATCAGATTTGGCTTACACTGACTGGAAAAAGGCAAGGTCATGTACTTCATCCTTCACCTCCATCTTGTAATAAGTACTCTGCCTTTGAAAAAGACGGGCTCTTTCCGAGGATGTAAACTGCACCTATCAAAACCTCCCATATAGCTTGAAACAAATGTGCGGTTTTTGTGCCCACCTTCTATACAGTTGAAAATCAAATCCTTCATGAGGTGTACCCCCTGTATCATACACTTCCCTACATACAAACTGAAACTAAGAAGGCTGCTTTTATCTGAGAAACACAAAGACCTCAGAAGTCCACCACAACCAACTGTACCACCGTTATTTTAGAATTACATAAGCAGATTTTTTTTTTGTGGTTTCTGCAAAAGAACAGCTCTTATTTTATATTTTTTTAGAGCATGGATTTGAAAAAAAATCAGATACTCGGTCCCAACTACTGAAGTATACCCACGTAGGAAATTCAGCATCAGAAACAGAGCTGGGATGGAGAAATTATATGCTTCCTGAAGTTAGAAATCTCATCCTAACTTCAACATGTGAGAAATCGGTCAATTTAAGCAAATCTAAATTACATGTCCTGGAACAAGCATATTGGCCTGAGTACTTAACGACACAGAACACACTGGCACACTGCTGGAGTAGATAATCATTGCATAACCAAAAGTGTGATTACTAATAGAGGAACAAGGCTGAAAAGGGATTTAACTTAAATGCTCAACACTACCAACTAAGTAATTGTGGGCAGTATTTATATTTAGTTGTACTGCATGTGATCGTATATGCACTACAAGAAGTATTAAAGAAAGATTATTTTCCTATTGGAAGCATAATATTTCAGCAAAACTCTTCCAAAACGTATATATGTTCTCTTATGTAAATAAATTTGCTAAACAATAACTTTTATCTCCTCCATTTAAGAGATCTATCTCTTCCATTTTCTAATTTTAACTAATGCTTTTTATGCTAACATTGGAAATGCTCAGGATTTGCTATTTTGATAAGTTAGGGCACAGGCATACAGCATATGCTTGCTTTTAAAACCCAGAACTGCCTTGATGGAAGAGGCCACCACCACATGCAAAAGAGTTTCATACCTCCGGCGGAAGTGCGCAAGATTAATGATGTGAAATACCGGTATCTACTTGCACTATCTACAAAACACAGCATGGTTTTGATACTTGTTTTTAAAAAAGTGTGCCTCGACATAACTTAAAACCAAGATCATAGCCTAAAACAAGTTATTTCATCACTAACAGTACAGCCTTCTCTCTGTGAAAGCTCTCAAAGCTCTTTAAAAATAAGCTGTAGCTGTCGCCACCTTCTTATTAAAGTTTAATAAGCTCAGCTTTTTAAACCACATAAAATTTTCATCAAGTTTCTCCTGACCTTTGTAAAAATCTAAAGAAAGAAAAAAGGTCGTAAGAGCCCTTTCCCCATGGAACAACTGTTTTGAAACATTTGGAAGAAGCCTAGAACCATGTAGGGGATGCAGAAGGCACAATTTAGTATTCCACAGACATTCATTGAGTAACAGTTATATTTAAACTTTCACCATCCCAAGGGACCACACTAAGTACCGGTTACAGTGTGGTCATTTAAGAATGACATCCTTAGGAAAATCTACAGGATGCCCATGGGACCTGCAGCATCAGACACTATTTTTAGAAACTAAAAAGGAAATCCTTTGTCACAACTGAAGCTTTATAAGTTTGCATTTGTTTTAGGTTTAACAAAACACCAAAGCACTGCCTCACAGTGAGCTCCTGTGTATTAGCCGTAATTCAAGGGGAAAGGGGGGACAGTGACTAGAGGTCAGCAGCTTTGTAAGTTAGCCTTGACAGAGAGACACAAAGGCAAAGAGAGCTCAGCGGATTTCCTGAGGTTTACTGACCCTTCTCAATAAAAGCCAAGGCACACTATGGGGGCAGTGGGTCATTAAGTCCACACTAGTAAAACATTTACTTCTAAAGTTTAACCCATATTTGAGTTGATGACTTGATTTAGTCAAGAGCTCCGAGTATGGCCATACTTAATTCAGTTCTTAAACAAATTATGAGTTGAAAAAGAATGTAAGAAAGGCATATTGGACAAAATTTTACTTAAAATATGTGACCAGGAGAATTAAGCAGTCCATACCAACCGTGATCTTGAACAGAGTTGAAAGTTCATGCAGATCACTAAGCAGCTCTGTACCTTAGTTTTCTTACCCTAACATTCATGACAGATTATAGTTTGGAAATACCTTTATACAACTTCTGAATTACTTATTATTACCTACCTACCTATTACTAAAGCTATCCTTAATAACATGTATAGAATTCATAACATTAGCTCTGCGTTCCCCTACACTATACAAGTTCATTCACAACTTAACTTTCCTCCCCATTCCCAACGTGCATACAGTACATATTATTCAGCCAACAGATTCTACCTTCCTCTTGAACCTATACTCATTAAAACCCAAATATTTTGCTTCAATTCTATTCTTTCATGTCATGTAATATGATCTTGTACTGGTGCTGCTCAGGATGAAAACTCTTTGTTATATAAAAATCCTTGTCCAGGAACATGCTCTGCCTTGGAACAAAGAAGTTCTGAACACTAGTTTGATGGACATTCCTTAGAAATGATTTGTTTCGCTATTGACTACTATATACAGAAATATCACCTCCAGAACTTACCTGATTCCTGTCACGTGCACTTGTGTACCTGATCTTCTGGATGAAGTAAAATATTAACCATGCTGAAGAAATTATCATCAAAACAATAAATGATATTGACACAAAAACTAGAGAGCCCCGACTGAAGTTTTTTGGAGGAACACGGGATCCCACTGCTATTGCCATCAGGACAGAGATATTCTTTTCCAAATAATTCAGGATCTCCTTAACCTTTGATTCTGTAATCATGACAGCAACAATGTCTCCAGTTCCTACAAAAAGAAAAAAACCATTTAATTGACATTTAAAATTAACATGGCATGCTGCTCACAAGATTTTCCAAATGCAAAGATATTTGACAACTTGAAGAATTTAATGTAAGCCATCTATGGCACAAGGAACATGCTGCTGGGCACTCAACTCATGGCTTGTCCTTCAAACCCAGATTTTCAAATTAGGGCATTAACATGCAAACTGTCTGCAGCTCCACACATAGTAACAGATCTCTACCAGCGGTTACACAGTACTTTCCACATTATAATTACTGTGTGCAGTCTGAACTAGCTTTAAAAAGTACATTTATTCCAGATTTGAAGCTGCAAATACCTAAATAGGTAATTCATAGAAAAACATTTAGAAGACAAGTTCAATGATATTGCTAGTATCTAGTTCAATGCTATTGTCTTAGTGCACACAGTGCTGCATACAAGTTGCTCTGGAGAGTTATGCAAGTTCCCCTGCCTGGTGATGAGGCTTTCACATGCCGTCAAGGTTGTCAAGGACCTGTAAAGCACAATTCCAGCACAGAAGCAACAGAGCCAAACTTCTACCTACATCACTTCAGACAGAAGTGAAAGTAAAGCGAGTAAGTCTGGCTGCAAAGCAGAAGAGAAATAAAAAAAAAAAAAACTTGGCAGAAGTTTGAGTGCTGATTTTATCACTCATATACAGACACGCTTGATAAGATCGCAAAGAGGCTGTCAGCTTCATCAGCTCCATTTTGAATGTGTAGCCCACCTGGTTTTCGTAGTGTCTTGTCTCTAGACTACCTCCTGTCCCAAAGGGAAAATTACTGGTACAAGGACAATAAGAGACTCAAACCACAAGACTTGCTGAAAAAGAATGAAATCACCTGCAGAGCAGAGAGAGCACTTATGTTTTAAAAGCAGAGGCCCCATAAAAAAGAGGATCTTGAACTCAGGGCAATCCTGATCTAAGTTCAAAGAAAGCAAAGTTTATAAGAAAACCAAAGCCAGAAAGAAAAAAGCCTTATGAGTGCCATTCTTATTCATCCAGATCTATTTGCTTCCTATACTAAAACCCTTTTCAAGACCTATTTTCAAAATGCTTGCAAAGTCTGCTCATCTGTTTGCTCCATCTGCTTGCTCCAATTCACATTCCCTCAGAGAGGAACTGTATAATGCAAGTGACTTCAGCACTGAGATTCTGGATTTAGAGTGGATTTAAGTTACAGAGAACCTAGTGTGACAGCGAAGAGAGAACATGAGGTCCTACTTAAACACAAGGAATTTGTTCAAAGTCTTTTAATCAAAATCTGATTTTTAAGAAGTTATTGTATCCACAAAATCATGTAGAAGACCCAAAAGAGCAGCATCTTTGAAACCCAGGGCACAATAAGTCAGGGAGACAGACCCAGACAGCTACATGATTTTCCAAAATGGGGGCTTTAACAGAGTTGTGTAACAGTCTTAAAAGTTATCTCATTACTCTTTCCATTCACCATGCCAAATAGTAACTTTTACAGTCACTATCCTCAGTTTTCAGAGCAAGTTCTCTAACATCAGTGTTGTGGATTGTGCTGACAGAACTACTCAGAAGACCAAAGCTGATAATCTCAGAAATTAAGATTGGCACAATAATTTAAAAAATATTCCACAGCCCCAAAATTGTTTTCCCCAAGAAATGTCAACTTTTCTTTATTTAAAATTGAAACAGTAAAGACATTCATGCCTTGTCCTAGTAACATGGGTCTAAGTTGGAAAAGAATGTTCAGTGTTTCCTTCTGAACGAGTATTTTTGAAACAAGTGTCACAGTAACTAAAAAGCTTTCAATAGCAACCAAAACCCAACACAATTTATGGATACAACTTCTTTAATCACTAGTATACCACAGATTCACAAGGTCCACTTTAGTCCAGCTCTCCAGAGACACTTCAGTTCGAGACGTACTGAGTGTGGTTTCATGGAAACTAACCAAGATATTTAATAGGCAGCAAAGCTCAGAAACAGAGCAAAAAGCCACCCCTTGCTTTATTTTCAGAGGAAATCTACTCGGATTCCTATTTGTCCTATTCTTCCTGGGAAGAGAGTCCCTGCCCAGAGTTGCAGCACTTAAATACAGGACAAGAGCCACCTTTCCTGCAAGATCCTGTATGTAGATGCAGCATGTGCTCCTGCAACCCCAAAAACCTGCAGCTCAGATGGTGCAAGATCAACCAAGAGCAGATAGTTTATACTGCTTGGTATTTTCCCTGCGCTTCACTTCTGTTCTTCATATCTAGTTTGGATAGCGAAGAGAGGTGGGGAAGGTGCGGGGGGGACTGTATTCCCCAGAGCACCTTCTGCTAAGCTTCCCCAGTAGGTATTTATTTGCACCGAGGAATTATGTTAGTATCAAACTATCAGTCAGGAGCACTCCATGTAGCATTCTGACATGATTTACAGTTATCTGCAAAGAAAAGCTGACCAAGATCTTCTGATACTAGTCCAGTTCTGTTGGAATCAAAGGCTGAAGCCTCTACCTATTCCCTGCTGTCCAGGGAATGTGACAAAGCTGACAATCTGTCATGCACTTTATATAAAGCCCAGCACAAAGGGGACCTCTGGCATCACTGCAAAGTGATTTGCATTCCAAATGACTCGACTGGGAACAGCCAAAGAGCTACTGCTGCTTCTGACCCTGCGAGAGCCAAGGAGAACTGCAGAAAAGAAAAATAAATTGTGCCTGTTTAACATACTGAAGCTCAGTGGAAACTGGGACTTGGTTCATCCATATTTTTGTCAGGGGCATCACCCTAAATAATTTTAGCAAGAGCTCCCTGTTTGAGAACAATTGGGGGCAGGAGGAGACACTGACTCATTTATTTTAAGCACCTTCAAACCTTGCATTTCTGAAACTTAAGGAGGAAAAAAATCCTCAGGTGAACACAGAAAGACTAACAGTCTTTGTAAGAGTTAGAATATGGTCTTACTACATAATCTTATGAAAAGCAATACTCTCCTCAGCCAAGAACACAGTGTCCAGAGAAAAGAAGCTGGAATGCTAACTAAAGCCAATGAACTACACACTCAGCCGTAAATGACAAGCTAGGACAGACGGTAAGCATAAGATAAATACTGACGCCTGTAAATATAAATCATTTAATTGCTATCATCCAAGCCCAGACAGCTCTTTCTAGCTTGCAATTTTACCATGTGCATGTTTAATTAGCATAGTTATACAACTCTATGTATGAAAAGGGGTAAAGTTGCAATTAATCATTAAATCTGTGTAATATTACACTGGGAGAGGAGAAGAGAGAAGGACTTAAAAGCTGAGAAGACACTAAAACCAAGAAGATGGGAAAACCAGCAACATCCAGAAGTTTTCTGTAGAGCGCCTAAGGAGGCTGCTTTGCTCTCTCACTAATCTATCCATATCTCCTAGCAATTCTAAAAAAGCACATTTAGAAAGTCAATAGAAAGTCACCTCAAAAATTACTGGTCTGATCACAAGCAAATAATTGTTTCCTTTTGTGTTTGTTTTGTTGATTGTTGACGACCCAATGTTTGTCTGAAGCTCAAAATATGGACAACGATGGCCAGCACATTAAGAGAGGCATGGTTCGAACAGCAGACTTCAGACACCTTCCATCCACCTCCCGTCCCTTGGAGGATGCAGGGAATGGCAGCCTGGCAAAACGCAACTGCCAAACAGCTGATTTTTTTTTTTCCTGGGCTTGTGAACAGCCCAAGCAGCTGTTTGGTCAGTACTCGGGGAGAAGGACAGGTGAGACAATTCCTCCTGGGCATCTGAGCAACCTGGCACCGAAGTGCTGCTACTGCTGCAATGCTGCAACCGCCTTCTCACAGACCGGGAGGGCAAAACGGGAGATCTCATCTCAAGCGCGGGACCACCTGTAAGAGGCGCTGAACTATTTTGATTCCGTGTAACAAAATTTGCAGAGAACTGAGAATTAAGTCAGATACTCATAACAAAGGCTAGCACTTTTCTAATTGCTGATATTTTCAGCTAAAGTCCTTGTAATTTCCTAAGTCTTTGATAGTACCTGCTGATGCTGCAGTCACAGCATGAAGCAGATAGACTGCATTCATCTCATTCATCTCAGCTTGCGAAAGAATACCATTCTCTCTTTAAACAGCAGACAATATTTAATTGTAACTGAAACCTTTCATGACTTCATTCTGAAAAACCTAAACTTAACACACATTTATCTGAATAATTCTGCTAGTAGAAATTTCAGGAGTACTTCCTTAAAAAAACCCAAACAAAATCCCCACCCTCCTAATAAAGGTAAAGAATGGTGCAGACAATCACTTGTAGGCTGGATTCAGGGCATGATTCAGACACTGAAATGCCACTGCCTATTTGACTGCAACAATCAGAACATCATAATGATAATGTAATTGGAAATAAAACTGCCCATTTTCACAAACTAGACTTCCCTATTCTTCTGTTAAAATCCCGTAACTGTATGCTAAGCATTTCCGAACATGTTATATCAGAAATAAAAATAGAGCAACACACACTATTCAGTGCCCAGGAAAGGGATCCGTCCTATTCCCATGAGTGACAGATTTCTTGGAATGACATTAAGTAACAGTGAAACCACTCCCACAGAATTTGGGAGCCCACAAAACGTCAACGAAGAAAACAGGAAAGCACAAATGAAGTGCTATGGTTATATATGAAGTTTTGAGAGACCGATAGCGAGTTCTGTGAAAACAGAAGACTTCTGAGCTGCAAGGGAGCAGAGGCAGAAGCAGGAATTACCCGTACAAGGTAAGGGATTTAGCCACAGAGGATATAATCCACGGAACCACGAGGTGAGGTGAGGGAAAGGGAAAAGGCACACTGAGCTGTATGCAAAGCTGCACTGCTAGAGAAGGTGGTGGTAGTACTTAACAACATTGGGGAAAAATAGACAAATTATTCAGATACCTTAAAATTTTAGTCTGATACAAAACAGAAATCGTCATGAAGAATAAGTCTTACATTCTAAAACAGGCTTTTGGAAAAGCAGACACTAAG